ATGTTTACAGCCTGGTTCAAAAAATGATTTTGGTCTATATAGCTAATTTTGCCCTTCATGACAACTGTGAGGGGGCTGAATTTTTTTATAACTCATCCGTTTAAATTATATTAAGCCTTAAAGTTCTGCATAATTAAGGGCGTGGTCACTTGAGTGACAGGTGGATCTACCACCATCGAGCTAGGTGGGCGTGGTTTCAGCAACCTGCTCCCGCCTCTTTGCCCATTTTCGATTATCCGGGAGTGACGCGCGGTGACACGCTGCCAAGATGGCGACGGCCGGCTCCACCCACTTTGAGCTTCAAAAACGCTCTTTGGAAATCTACGGGTGACGTCACGGACACTACGTCCATGTTTTTATACAGTCTATGGTGGGGACATAAGAGCAGAGCAGCCCCCACCCCCTTGCCTGCAGCTTCAAGCCATCTACAGTAAATTCTCTTTATTTATAGCGTATGGTAGCCAACATATTCATGATTTCATAATTCATAAACAGACGGTTTTTATGTTAGTTGGCCATGTTTTACAGATAATAATTACACAATTTTGATTTTGTGAACCAACAACATCACTGGGTGTCTTCGTATTTAAATAAAGTCATGCGTGATTAATCGAATTTGACCCAGGACAATTCTTAAAGAAATCTCTAATGTTGCTGTAGTAACGAAACTTTCATGCGCATGTGATTGACAGATAAACCACACGCTCTTTTTTCAGTGTTGTTTTTTTATTTTGTGCTGCAGAGTTTAGCTCCGATCCTAATCAAGTTTGGGATTACTGAAAACTTCCAGGGAAGTGTTTTGGGGCTAAACTCAGCAGGACATTGCATTGGCCCTGCAGGAGCAGGATTGGACACTGACTCTATTTGTGCTGGATAAAGGCTTCTGCTAAATGACTACTTCACGCTTTACGATATTCAGCAGGGAAATCCCCATGCTTCTTTCTTAACCGTGCCTTTGCTTTCTTTTCATTGAAGCACTACCTTCATTCTTGGTCAGTCTCAGCACGCATAAAGACACAAACAGCTAGCACCCTTTCTCATATCAACCCCTGGAGTTTGCGCCAATCAACAAAACAATTTCAGTCCACAGACATTCCTCATCATCACTGCACTACTATCAGTCTTGCTTCACCTTCTTGTATAAAGATGCCAGGCACTTCTTGCCAAATCATCATTTTCTATTTCTCCCCTGTGTGACATTACGTTACAGCTCATATCTCTAAGCACCTCTGCCTGCTGGGCTTCACGCATCCTCGGCTCAATCTGTATAAAAAAAAGAGATGGGCCCAAGGCTTTTAAAGTGAAACACAAATGAATAAATCAACAGCTGAGATGTGCTTCAGGATGCAACTTGTTTTTGATAAAACAACAGCAGTGCATCCATTCCGTTAATTGCTTTGGGAAAGCAGTGCAGATTGCATTAACAGCGAGTGTGCTGATAGAAAGTGGACCATATTAATCTAAACACTAAAGGGGGGATGCTGGCAAAGGGCCCTTGTATATGTGTGTTGTATTACCCTTTAGCCTCCAGGGTTCACTGTTTCTCCAACTGACATTACAAGCTCACAAAAGGCAAAGCAAGGTGGCGTCCAACCTCCATGATACTATTGAACAATATTTCAGACTTGATCTAATGTAAAGACATCCCATGAACTAAATGCTGTTTGTACTTATACTGTCTGCCAGTGGTTCTTTTTAAGCCAAGCACCACCTTTGCATATCTGTGGAAGATAGGTCCTATCAGAAAATGCATATAACACCATAATGACAACATTCAGAAAGGTTGAAACTGTAATTCTATGTGTTCTTATGCAAATTCAATTCAAACGCATTAATATTAAAACTATTTTAAAATTTGATAAAAGCTTTTCTGTCTAGGACTGCTCTGTCAAAGTGGTTATATTATTTGAAATCATGTTTGAAATGTTGTGCATGTCCTCATGAAAATGAGCATCTTGATGCCGCTCACACACTTAGTGTAAACAGAATAATTTCTGGCTTTTTTTGTTGATCGCTTCTCTCGCACAGAATTAAATTGTGGTGTGTGCACCAAGTGACATGTCAGTGCAGCTTCACATCATGCATTGCATATATGCACAAATAACCGGTTTTATTAGGTTGGTAAAGATCCCCAATGAATATTGGCAGCCGGACCATGATGACTTTGTAGCTGAATATCAATAATTAAGTTTCAAACAAGCAGGCAGCAGAGGTAAGGTCATATTGATCTGCCATGGTGCAACATGCCAGAGAACAGGACATCAATGAAGCCGCAGCCGCGCAGCGTATATGAATTCTTGCTGCGTGGCGTGCGAGTGGCAGTCGGTGTACCTGCGGCATTCTCACTTAATAGGAAACGCTAGAATCTCAATATCACCACACGGTCTCTTAATGGTCAATCACCCGACTTGCATGACACAGCATATTTGTGTTTGCGGCTAGGTTTGCAATGCTTCTGACTGCTGATTCGAAGGTCAGTGGTGATGTTTTGGATGTGTCTTCAGAGGCTGTTGATCTGCAGTGATGACATGCTTTGTGTGGGTGTTTCACACGTGAGGGTTTAGCTCGAGATTTAATGTGTTGATGTAAATGAAGATGAATAATTATAACTAGTGCTCCCAGACAGTACTATTGCTCACACTTAAGGTTATGGATTTTTCTAAACAGATTTTGTATTAAAAGTATTCTGTTTTAGTGAGTAACCCTTACATTACCATTTGTGATATGGACATGAATGCATTCTCAAATAATGGACAATCTCAAAGAGGAAATGTGGAATTACATTTAAAAAACATAAAGTCATAAGTCTGACAGCTTAGAAATTTGATTTTCAACATTAGGGACAAACTCCAAAAGAGAAGGAATACTGGTAGACACTGAAGATTAGCCAACAGGCTGTCGATTTTGAGTTGTTTCCTCACAAAAGCAGTTCATTTAGAGTATTAAAGACTCTTCTTCATTGACATCTATTAAAAAAATGCCTCCTGTCTAAGGTTTCTTGTCTCCTTGCCAGTGTACTGCAGCGTTATGCTTCTTTTTGTTAACCTTGAAGGCTCCCTCTAGGGGAGGGGCTCTGCTATAAGGCAGTCTGAGTCATTTAATGTTTGTGAAGTCTCATTTTTCCTGCAGTTATGGCTGTTTATACTGAGCTCATGTTTTGGTTATGTTACTGATCTCTTGCATGTTTTGTCTTTCATTTCAGATTTGTTAGCCTTATCTATTTGGACCAATGCTATTTTATTATCATTGAGATACAATTGTAGTGTTTGTTTTCATTTTCATTTGAAAATTTCCTGTTTGCATTTTTTGTTAAATAATAATAATAATAATAATAATAATAGTTTTAGTACATCAAGTTAAAGTAAATGAAAATGAGAAACGTTGCCGTGGCAACTACCTGAAATAATGATGATAATAATAATAATAATAATAATAAAATATATAATAATAATCATAATAAAGTATTTTATTGTTTTAATTTTAGTTCTGTCATGACAACTCTCTGAGGGAGCGGCATGGTAATGTACATGATAGTGTTAATGTATTTGGTCTTGGCGGAATAGATCTGCTACACTGCTGCTGCTGCTGCGCTCATTGGCTACCGATACAGGAGAGAACCAATCAGCTGCCATGCGACAATAATGTCGCCAGGTCAGATTGAGTTAGACCTATCGGACTGCGCCATCTAGAGTTTCATGCCAGAACTCTGTATTTAACTATAATAACCCTGATTCTGACTATTTGGATTTTGACCATGACATATTGTATGACTACTCTTTCGGATATTGGACTGCATATTTTTAATAAACTACTTCTCAAGGATTATAAAACTGCAAGTCCAATGCCTTTATTACAGTAGGTAACCATACCAGAATCAATAATGTATAATAATGGCTCGTTTCCACTGAGCAGTACGGTACGCAATTATTTCACGAACTGTACTGTACCACTTTTTTGGTACCCTTCCGTTGGGGTACCTAGGACAGCAAAGGGTACCAAAAGGGTGGA